TATTTGTTCATTATCTCAAAATGATTTTTTTGGACTTATTGCATCTCCCTTGAATAAATAATATATATATATATATATATATATATATATATATATATATATATATATATATATATATATATATATATATATATATATATATATATATATATATATATATATATATATATATATATATATATATATATATATATATATATATATATATATATATATATATATATATATCAACCCTCGGAATTAGGGAAAATGAGGCCGGCAAATTACTGCCAACCTCAATCTTTTGAGGTCGGCATCTGGTTGCCAAAAATTATTTGATACAAAGGTCTGACACAAAACATAGAAACAAGGTCGGCAATTTTTTGCCGACCTCAAACACTTTCAGCTCGGCAGTTAGGTCGGCATTGCCGACCCTAATTCCTAATCTAATCACATTCGTGTATGAAGAATCTAATCACATTCGTGTAAGAAGAAAATGGCATTTTTAGTGTAATTTTTTAAATTAGCATTAATTTTTCATCATTAGCATTTTTAGTGTAATTTTTTAAACTTCAACATCAAATTAGAGTACTTTCCTCAAATTTTCAGGTCAATGTTTTTATACGAATCTTAATCAGCATGAAATTCACTATCAAAACCAGTCATAAAATGATAGGGGTAGGAAACTGAAACCTCGCCTATAAAATAACAAAAATGTTTGAAAACTATTAAAAATCTATATATTATATTTTTTATTAACAAGTATAATCCATTAACTTCAAAAAATTTTCTAGATGATTAAAAAAAAAAAAAAATAAGGAGAAATTGAGGAGAGCAGTCAAATTTTAACTTGTTTTAAGGTTATTTAAGGACATTTAAGGAGGTTTTTATTTTTTAAGGATTTTTAAGGTTTTTAAGGAAGAATGGGAACCCTGATATATATATATATATATATATATATATATATATATATATATATATATATATATATATATATATATATATATATATATATATATATATATATATATATATATATATGTATATATATATATATGTATATATATATATATATATATATATATATACATATATATATATATATATATATATATATATATATATATATATATATATATATATATATATATATATATATATATATATATATATATATATATATATATATATATATATATATATATATATATATATATATATATATATATATATATATATATATATATATATATATTTAACAGCCGTGGCGCAGTGGTAGCGCACTTGCCTCAGAAACGAAAGAGCTGAGGTTCAAACCCCACCTCTAGGGTTTGAACCACAAATCTTACGTTTTTGGATTTTGCGACATCGGTTTTTGCGACATCTGGGTTTTGCGACATCGGTTGGGAAAGAGGCGTGAACTTCCTATTAAATGCTCTTCCGCGGTGCTCTGTGATAAGACCGTAAGGACTTCTTGGGGCACCTAAATCAACCTAAATGTATATATATGTATATATATATATATATATATATATATATATATATATATATATATATATATATATATATATATATATATATATATATATATATAAATCGAGATATATAAATCTATGCATACTTGCTTATATTGGGTTCATAAGTGTAAAGTAGTAAATCACCTTTTTTTAGTTTACGCTTACTCTGCTTGATAAGTTGATTACTCTGTTTAGTTAGATATTTTTACAATTTGCTACTCTTCCACATATGTTCTAATCTATAGTACAGGATCTTTTTCTATTATATATTATAGTTTCTATTATATATATTAGTTTCTATTATATATTAGTTTTATTAGAAAGTATCTAAAGTTACTTAGAAACAACTTTCCAATTTTTCCACAAATTTTTATTAAATAAAAAGGTAGACTTTTAAAAAAAATGTCGAAATTTCCTGTGCAACTAGCATGAAATGGTAAAAACGTGGACCGCAAATATAAAGCGTGCAACTAGCATGAAATGGTAAAAACGTGGACCGCAAATACATTTTTTGTTTGCCAATTCGCACTTATGTCAATGTTTGCACAATCTTTTGGCGCACTTATGCCGGTTCGCACATATGCTAGTTCGCACATATGTTAGTTTTTGCAACGCTTCACACTTATGCTAGTGCGCACATATGCCGATTCGAGGTTATTCAGCCTCCCGGTTATTTTTTATACTTATTAACTAACCGGTTTTTGATAAAACCCCCTACAATGAATTAAAATTATACCATGTTATTACAGAGGTAGCCAGAATATTATTTCACTTTTAAAACGTCTATTTATCGTAGAAAATTTATATTAAATAAAAAACTGGCTACCTCTGTAGTAACATGGTCAATTCAACAAATCTTTAGGGACACACAAAAACAATGATCAAAACATTTTTTTTTCTTTTTTTGGTTTTTAATTTACAAAATTTATCATTTATTTGATAATGTGCAAAAAAATTGAGGAAATTCGGAAATTATCGTATGTAATATAAAGATTTAGTGAAAACCCGGGTTTTTTACCCCTGAAAATCCCGCACTTAAAAAGACAAATTTAAAAAAATTTGAAATAAATATTTTTTTATTAACTAATGCTAACTTGTTTTGTTTAAAAATATTTTAAATAATAATTAAAAAAATCAATTTATTTCAATTTGAAATAAATTGATTTTTTTTTCAGGTAAGTAAAATCCTTATTCTGCTTCGTGACGCACAGTGGAGCGGAAGAAGGATCGCTTACTTTAAATAATGTTAACTTAACGGCACTCTAGATAAAGTAGTAAAATAATAAATAAAATAAAAGAACTAGTCCTCTAATTTTTGTCGCAAATTATCATAAACAGGAAATGATATAACAAATAAATCCTATAATTTCACATACTGTAGGTATCAGGTGCTTACTTTAGATATCTAATAGATAAATGAGAGAAATATACGACCAAACGAAATTTTTATCTATCATTTTATTGTTTATTATCAAAAAAATAATAATTTTATAAATTAAATGCCTTTCATTACTTTTCTTGAAATAATGATTTGTCAAATAGTTTGAGTTATCTAAATATGGTTTGAGTCATTAGTCTACAGAAATTTAAAGCTGTGGTAATCAGTATTAACCCATAAATTATGTGTTAAATTAGCTGTTATGTCATAATAGCTAATTGCTTGTTACTAACAATAATAGTTAGAAGAAATATAAATCTGTTCCATATGACTATGCAATAATGTACTGTTTCTGAAGATTCAACTAACAAAAAAAACCAAAAAAAATATTTATAATTATCAAACGTTGAAATCGTCCTTGAGCAGTTGATCAACTGCTCAAGGACAATTTCAATGTTTGAAAGATGGATGGATGGATATGTATACATACACGAAGATGGATGGATATGTATACATACTTTAAAGTGTTTTGATTGAAACACTTTAAAGTATGTATACATATCCATCCATCTGTCTATCCATCCATCCATACATACATCCATACATACATACATACATACATACATACATACATACATACATACATACATACATACATACATACATACATACATATATATATATATATATATATATATATATATATATATATATATATATATATATATATATATATACATATATATATATATATATATATATATATATATATATATATATATATATATATATATATATATATATATATATGTATATATATATATATATATATATATATGTATATATATGTATATATATATATATATATATATATATATATATATATATATATATATATATATATATATATATATATATATATATATATATATATATATATATATATATATACAGGCTCACACATACACACACTTATGATAGTATTGTTACTTAATGCTATTATTGTTATTATTATTATTAATAATTCTATTATTAAAATTGATATTATTTTTATTATTATTGTTGTTTTTGTTATTATTATTATTATCAATAATAGCTTATAATAAAGGTTATTTGCTTAATTGAGAATAGTTTAAATGTTTTTTAACTTCCTAAATGCAATTTAAGCATTTTAAAAATACAGTGGTTATGTTTGAACTTCAGGCATCTTCAATGGACAAGTTTTATCATTTCAAAATGCCTGAACTTTAGGCATCCTAAGCTAAGATCTTTGCATGTTCATTTTTTTCTTCTCTTTATCATTAAATCTAGAAATGCTAATTTTACTAACATTAGGCATTAAATCTAGAAATACTAATTTACTAACATAATTATTTCATTAACCTATAATTTGGATTATAAAATTATTTTTACTTTAATTTTATTTATTAAAGTTTATAATTTATTATCTTTAAAATAATAAATGTATTTTTTACCTAGATTACTTTAGGCAGAGTTGTTAACAAGGCCAAAAGTAGCAATGTCAAGGTTACGCATTACAAAGCCAAGGCAGAGGCCAAAGCCAAATGTTACAAGGCCATGGACAAGGCCTAAGCCAAGAGTTTTAAGGTCAAGGCCAAGATCAAGAGTTCCAAGGCCTATGCAAACATTTTCAAAACCAAACACTTTAATTTTTGCCTTATCTTAACGCCAGTTATTATCAAGACTGTAAGTAGCAAGTGCAGTGACAATAAAATTACTTTTTGTAAAAATAAACCAAGCGCAGAATTTAATAAAATTGATAAGAAAATATGAATATTTTTTTTAAGGCCAAGGCCAAAATTTTTAAGGCCAAGGCCTTATTTTTTAGCCTTAAGGCCAGGCCAAGGCCAAGGACTAACAACTCTGATTCTAGGTTGCATTTTTTTTTTGTTTTATTTCTTTTTAACAATGCTATATAAAAAATGAAACCACCTGATTTCTTATTTAAAATTTATATTTATATGTATTTTTAGCTCATTTCTGGAAAATATATTAATATTTATTGGTAATAAATGTATTCATCTTAAAATAATATTAAATTTTAGTTATATGTTGTTTTGTAATTAATATTTAATACTTACAAATTAATACTTATATATTAACTTTTAGTATATATTAATGCATTTATATATACATATATATATAAATATTATAAATGAAAAACAACAAGCCAATAATTTTGACAAGTAATCCAGAAAATGAATTTGAACTAATACAAAGAGTTGGTAGTGGAACATATGGAGAAGTTTTTAAGGTAATGTTTAATTATTTTAAAGTTCATTTTGTCTGTGTTACTTGATAATAATGCAAAACTATTTAACATTTTTTGTACACAATTGGTCGCAATACATTTTTTGTTAATTTTAATTTTTTAAATTACCTCTACCCAGAGCAGTTAGATATCATGAAAACATGGATGCGAAATCAGAGTCTAGAGTCCTTGTTTTTTCCCAAAAAAAATTTTTGGTACTTTGAGACTAAAGGGTTTTTTTCATTTTATATCAGCATATAAGTGCTTGCTAATTAAATGTTATTAAATTATAAGTTGATTGATTTAAAATAGTTTAGCTAACAGTTATGTAACTTTAAACCAGTAAAAGCAGGAGGGTCTTGAATTACGCTGTGTATGGCAAGCCTCCAGGCATATAAATAATCAAAAATGTGCAACATCGACTATAGCATACATTGCTTTTAAAGAATATAAGACGCAAATCAGCTTATGCAGTGTACAAAATTGTTGGGATACAGTGATAGCTAAATGTGGAATTATGCTTAGGCACAAATATTTATTCACTCAAACCTGCATTGATACCAAAGTAAAAAAAAGTATTTTTTAAATATGTTTTTCTAATGATGTTGTTTAAACTAACAGGTATGGTTTTACTGATAAAACAGTATAAAACTCATAATTTTAAGTCATTTTCTTAGCTCTTAGGTCAAACAAGTTGAGTGTAGTAGTAATATATAAAACATCTTGCTTACAAGGGGAGCCCTCTACCACAGTGCCACTAAATTTGAAGTTAACAAACCTGTTATCTAAAGTATAATAGTAGAAATATCTAAAATCTAAAAGAAATTATTTTTTGAGCAAAGAAATGAAAGCAATAATAAATTATAAGTTTTAATAGCATAATTGAAACTTTATAAAGTTCACTCTAGCACTTTAGGAACACCCCTAAAAATTTTGGTTAATTGGCTCAAAAATGTTAATTGAAAAAAAAAAAAATTTAGAGTCACTTTTTTTTGACACCAGAGTCCGAAATATTGGAGTCCCTAAAAATCAATAGGGGAAGTCCTATTGATTTTTAGGGACTCCAAGATCTCTGCATAAAATATGAAAATTTTAAGAATGATCAAAGTATTTTAAGAATGATCACAGTAATTTTAAGAATGATCACGGAAACAAATTCTCCATTTTTGTTTCCTTAATAAGTTTGTACAAAACCAAATGGGATAATGAAGAGGTTGGGTATAGAAATAATCTTTTAAATATAGGTTTTATTTCTGCATTAAAATTTTTGTCAATGTCTTCTGTGTAGTCTTCCACCAGAGGATCAACACAAATCTTTTATATTGATTCTCCTTTTAATTAAAAATACAAAGTTTTTATTCAAATCCTGATAGCATTAGGCACTTCTTTCAAATTCTTATTAAGATTGTTGATGATGTATGTATGTATATATAAAAAATATATATATTTGTCCTAAACTCTTTATATGGATTCAGCTAAAGTTCTGCTGATTGATTTTGACCTAAAAATACTTTTCTGTAACTATTTCTCAAGCCTTGCCAGGAAACGCAAGGAATTTATTTTAGACAACTTGGTCATGGCCATTTGGAAGTTTTATAATATTAATAACTGCAGATAAAACTAAGTTTCAAAAACAAAAAAAAAGCAAAATTTTATCATCACTTTGCAATGACTTTGCAAATGGAGAAAGCATTTTTTTAAAGGTGAAAAGATGAAAAATAGATAAAGAGCAAAAACAAAAAAACAAGTAAAAAATTGTTTAGAATAGAAGATTTGAAAAATAAAAGAAATAAAGTGAAAACTATTAAATAAACAGAAGAACTAAACGTAAAGTTAAAAGAATAAAAATGTTTGTGATAAATTTGAAAATAAAAAACTTCAAGCTATTAAAAGATACAAAAGTAACATTTTTTAAGTTTTATTAATTCATGTTGTCATGCATTTTTGTGTATTGTTTATAGTGTTTTGATGTATTTTTTATATTGTTGTGTATTTCTATGTTTTGTTTATGCTGTTGTGTAATTTTGTGCATTGTTTATATTGAAGTGTACATTTGTGTATTGTTTATGTTGAAATTCATTTTTTTTTTGTAGTCTTGTTGCTAATTACTTTTATTATTGTTGCTTTTTATGTTTGTTGCTATTATTCATGTTGTTTCTTATTTTTTGTCTCATCATAATATTTAAAAATATCTTTTTGTTTTTTTATTTTCTTCATTATTTTTATCATCCTTCTGATCATCAGATGTTGTGCTATCTCATTGATTCGTTATCTATCATGTCAATTTATTCACTTTTGCCCTTTTTTGTGTTATTTGTCTTACTTTTTTTAAATATTTTTTTTTTTTCGTTTTATTTTAATTTGGTCACTATCTACATTACTTTTTTGCTTTATTTGTTTATTTTATTAAGGTGTCACTCCAATGACTAGTTTTTAACTATATAAGTGACACCAAACCTAATTTTGTGAAATTATAAATCTCTTTGTAATTATTTAAACTTTATAGTTAAATAAATAGAATGAAAAAAAAAAAAAAAAAAGGAAATAAAAAGGAATTTAAATAGATAAAATAAAAAGAAATTATTAATTTAAATAATTTATGTACTATTTTTATTTTTTGTTTCTTTAGAGTGGTTGTTATTTTTAGCAACAAAATCAGATAAGGCAAAGCAAAAAAAATCATTTTAGTGTCTACATTTTCCTTTATTTAACTTTTTTTTTTTAAAAGAGGAAAGCGAAAATATAAATTGCAATGTGTTTGTAAAATATATTTGTATAATTTTAATTAATCAAGTATATATTGTCCCTTTATGAAAATATCTATGTAATAATTGTATATACTTTTATGTATGTACTTTTTGTATTATATAATTATATTTGTTTCTTCCTAATTATACGAATGTTTAGTTAATTTAGATAAGGCGAATACTTTGTTAACGGAATGTCCATTGTTCAAGATCAATCTCGTTCCAAATTTTTTTGTTTTTTTACACACGCAGAGCTGAATGTTAAAAAGAAACGTGTCTCCTTTAAAATATTGGGGATAAAAAACAAACAGGAAAATATAAAACAATCAATGATCAGCTAATTTTAGAAAAATTGATATTTTGATCTCCTAAAATTAAATCTGGCCAATCCAATTTGATCGGCAGTAATTGCCAGTCAAGCTTTAATAATAATTAATAGAAAAACATTTTAAATACAGAAAGTTAAAAGTATTAAATTAACATCAAAATTAAATTAAAATGAATTATATTTTAAATTTAATTCATTTTAATTTAATAACAAACAACTTATTTAAATTCTAAATAAAATAACTAAAAAAAAATGGTGAGTTTTATTTTAATTCTACATGGAATAAAATTGGGAAAAGTCAAACGTTTTATTTATTTTCTAAATAAAATAATTAAAATAAAACAAAAATTAATTTATATTTTACTTTAAATAAACATCTTTAAAATCAAATACTTTAAAAAAAATGGCAAAGTTTTATTTTAATTCTAAATAAAATAAATTAAATAAATACGGCATAACTAATTTTAATTTAAATTCTAAACAAAATAAAACAAAAACGGCAATGTTTTATTTATACTCAACTTAAAACGTTTAAAAAGAAATACAGCAAATTGAACATTTATTTCAATTAAAAAAAAAAAAAAAAACATAAAAAAACAACAAGTTAAAACAAACAATTCATTTAAGTTCTAATAAAATAATTAAAGTTAAAACGGCAATTGCAATTTGATTAGGTAAGGTAAAAAAAAATGTATTTTAAATTTTAGTAAAATTTAATTAAAAATTGATCGTCTAAAAAATAATTTGATTGTCTGGTTTTTAAATTTTTTATTTCAGCCGATCAATTTTAATCGGCAACCATTAGAAAATTATTTCGAGCGCTGGTTACAAAGCAAACATATGACCGGCAGTATTTATAAGAAAAACAAAAAAAAATATGGACAGTTGCGGGAATCGAAACATGGACATTCCGCGTATGAAGATAACACCTTATCCTTTGTTTTTGAAATTTTTTTAACACATTTAATAAAACTAGCTAACAGACGTGTCCAAGTTGTCTAAAATAAAATACTCATGTGTGGACATACAAGACAAAAAACCGCACGCATTTCATGGGAAGGCTTGATATCTCTTTTGTAAATAACCTGTGTCTGGTAATAGTAATTTAGAATCTTGTTTTACTAAATCAAATGTGTTAATAAATTAAAAAAGATAATTACTAAAAGATGAATAAAGTTTAGAACATATATCCAGAACAATAGTTGCTCTTTGCAATGATTTTGGAAACAGCATTCATTTGTTGTAAAATTAAAATTTGTTGTAATATGATCCCATATTATTGTTTGTAAGGCAAATTCAAAAGTTCCCATTTTCGATAATGAATTTCCAGCCGCAGCTCTAGCCTTGGTTTCAAAACTTTCATTCTCATTAATTGTGAGCAATGCTTCCATTAATTTGTCACAATTCTGATAAATAGATTTGACCAAGTTTGCATGAGCACTCCATTATTTATTTGATTTCAGTGAACTAGCAGCCTCTTCTACTGAATTAAGAGTTAAAGGCCTGAACATGCCAGGAATTTTTCCAGCTTATTGAACTCCTAAATTTTAGTTTTTATACCTTAATAATCTCCATTCATATTGCTTGAGTTATCATAAGACAAGCTTTCATTGGGGGAGGGGGGGGGTCCAAAATTCTATATTTTTTGTTTAACCAGTTATTCTTAATTGATAATTTAGGAAAAGTTTGAAAAACAATTCAGTTTTTTCTATTTTTTTGTGGTTGGCCTTTTACTTTTATTTAAACATTTTTAAAGATATAAAAGAAATATAAAAACATATAAAAGAAAAATCTTTACAGAGGTTTTTTTGCATATAAAGTTATGCAACTTTATGTTAAAATTTGTGCAATTTAAATTTTGATTGGATAAATTTGAATTAAAATGAAAAATAGTAATAAAACTTTTTTTGTTAAAATGTAAAACTTAT